ATAATTAAAAATATAAGAACTGATAGATACTTTGGTTGTTAAGTTGAATCCAATTTGAATTTATCAGAAATTACTTTTCGTATAATATGTTTGCTTCATGCTTTTCTTGATTTTCTATTAAATTCTGAAATTAGCAATTAACATGCCGGCATAAACCGATAATAACATCATTGAATTTATGGCTAATTATATACAGAATATTATAATATTCGCATGTAATTTGTTTTTAATTTTGATGAATTACTTTCAATTTGTGACCCATGCAGGGACTCTTTTTATTTTTATTGAAATATATGTGTATATAATTATACTATTATATGCGTTATTTATTTTTTAATTGCACAAATTTTTTATAGAAAATCTGTTGGTTGACTTCATACATATTTATGTATTTTGTAATGAATCTGTCGTTAGCGTTTATTAATTTAGAGATTAGGTTTTCCTATATATGAACAATATTTGAATTATAATTTTTCAAAATAATGATAACAATGATCGAACTTTGAAATGTTTTCCAAAAGCTTAGGCAAAACAGGTCCAATGTTAAAAGAAAATGATGAAAAAATATGCCCTCAAATTAAAAACAATTAAATTTTAAATCCAATTAAAACTATTATTTTCAAGCAAAATTTCAAGCTATACCTCTTAATCAAAAATTGTGTATCCTTGGTGTATAAAATGAGTAACCCAATCAATCCTCGAAACTTCGTTTCTAGTGTAGCATGGAATTTTTTCGCTCAACTCCGTATTACCCCTAGCGGAGGTCAAAGTTTATCAATAGGTTCGGAGAAGCTTATGCAAATAAATTGCAAATTGCAGCTGCGTGGATCTGCAACCGATCCCATTGTGCTTGTCAGGCAGGCAGGCGGCAGCCAGCCTCGTTTATCTGTCAACAATAATTTTGTTGGACCCCAGTCGTTAGTCTCGCGATGCTATATGCCCGATGCCCGATGCTCGATGCCTGATCGCCTTGTATGGGGCACGACTTCGTCATCATTATTTTTATAGTCGGCGGCGGCAGCATTCGCTTGTTTGTTGCTTTGCCACTTGAGTGTGAAAAACGGGCATGTAAAATGCGAAATGCATGTCGCTTGGATTTATTTATAAATCGACCATAATGACGACTGCATTGTCCAAATAGTTAAACCATATTTCCATGGCATCGCTTTCCGTTGACGTTGACTGAGCTTATCAATCCATTCCTCTCTAGCTGCTCGGACTCCGTTTGCTTATCACGTGCTGTAGTTTTCCATTGCGTTTGTTTTTCGCGATTTATGATGTTGAACTTTATGCGTATGGAAAATTTTATTATTATAGACCCGATTTGCTTTTATCAGTGCGTTTGCCTGATTAAGGGCCATAGCTTCGAACAATAAATAGTAATCGTACCAGTTTTGGTTTTCCAGCTAGCCGTGACATTGACACACTCGCCGCCATCCAAATAATTTTTATTCATTTATGCATGTTGCACAATCGAATGCGACAAATGCGTGCCTCAACAACGACTGTCAATAATGCGACCAATAACTAACTTTTTTGTTGTTGTATTTTTTTGCTGCTGCTGCTGTCTCAACACATTAATCTCAACGCCAGAGCAGATCGCATGCTAATGTGCCTCTTCAGGCGAGCATAAATTATTGCTCGCTTTCATTATACTCGTACCAACATAAGTAATGTGAGCAGAGTTGTCAACGCAGCTCGTTTCGAACGAATGAAAAATATATGGCTTCAAAGATGGGATCAATCTATTTATATTAGACGATATCTAAGCTTTCAATCTTAAGCTATTACATGCTTTGCTCGAATATAACTTTCACAATTCTTCTCATAAAGATTAAAGATTTAAAAACAAAATTCTCCTCATTTGTATTTGATTTGCATATTATGTTGAAAGTCCTTTCCATCATCTTTCGATTATCATTAGTGATGCTCTTTGGAAATCTTCTTTATAGATTATAAGCTATGAAAAATGTTGTCGATAACTTGAAATTCTGTGATGATTCTTTCGAAACATTTCATTCTTTTCATAAATATTAAAGATTAAAAAATATAGTTCTCATTTATATTTGATTTGCATATTATGTTGAAAGTCCTTTCAATCATCTTTCGATTATCATCTATTAAAAGTCTACTTCATAGACTAATTACTTAACGATGCTCTTTGGGAATCTTCTTTATAGATAACAGGCTGTGAAGAATGTTGTCGATAACTTGAAATTCTGTGATGATTCTTTCGAAACATTTGATTCTTCTCATAAATATAAAAGATTAAAAAAAATGCTTCTCATTTGTATTTGATTTGCATATTATGTTGAAAGTCCTTTCAATCATCTTTCGATTATCATCTATTAAAAGTCTACTTCATAGACTAATTACTTAGCGATGCTCTTTGGAAATCTTCTTTATAGATAACAGGCTATGAAGAATGTTGTCGATTATTTGAAAGTCTTTGATGATTGTTTCGAAACATTTGGTATCATTTAATACTCTGCTTAGTACTTAAACAGTAGTACAGTCTTTATAAATGTTATGTTAAGTCTTATCTAAAGCCTTAATATAAGTATGTAGCTTTGCAAAGATTTGTAGATTTGGAAACTGATTCAACAAAGCCCTCTTTCTTCCACTTTCTATCGATATTATTAGTCTTGCTTTAAAAGCCATTTCGCAACACTACAACGAGCATTTATTATTATTAAGGTGCGTCTGCAAACCCACAGCTACGCAACTCTGCTCAGCTCTAGCCTGGCCTGGGCCGGTCTTGTCTGCTGCCTTCATGGCTTCGTGCAATTTGAAAAATCTCATTGCTCACGCCCTAGACCTTTGCGGACTCGCCTTGTCCACAAACTTCAGACGACGATGACGATGGCAACGGCGCCGACAACGCGGACAGCTCATGCATGAACTTTGCCGCGAGTGTTTTTTCGCATTTTTGCATTGAAATGTAAAGTGCCTTGAGACTGACCGGTTGCGACCAGTTGCAATTATCGGAGGCAAGGTTGTGCGTGGCTTTAAACCAATTCAATGGCTAGACAAGTGTGTAGCTCGGCTTGGCTTCCTACAACACACAGACACACACACACATGTAGTACTTGGGGCTGATAAGGCTAGAGCTTATAGGCGTCGAGTGTGTCAAATCAACGTGTACCCCCTGAAGTGCTATTGTAAGTGGTTTACTAGGGAATTGCCTAGTTTCCCATACCCGTAAAGGTCGCTAATAACTGTACTTACCTTGACATAACTACCACTTGAGCGTGCACATATATCTAATCACAATTTTTAAGCACTAAAATATCACATTAAGTCGCTGATATCAACGCCCACTTCATTTGCGAAGACAAAGAAAAATATACACATGTATAATATAAACAACATTTCAAAACGCTTCTCACCAACAATTGGCCGTCTAATGACCCGTCTCAATTATAACGCTCGGGTCAAGCCCCATGCAAATCAGCAAAGCGGGCATTAGCAATAATTTTAAATAAACTACAACTAATTACAGTCACGCCTATGATCTATTGTCGTGTGAATTAAAAATGATAATAGCCAAGCCACACGACCCGAACTCTGGCGTCAAATTGTAACGCTCTCTCGTCTATGGCTAACAGTTTATACACAACAACTAATTGCATTAGCTGGCTTGTTGTACGACAAGCCTTTGTTCTAGTAATTCCCCCCACCAGATACAGATCTCTGTGTAAAACAACACAAACAACACTTTTATTTTCGCAGGCAGTCAGCGTGTCTTAAATCGCCACCAAATCCCCATCCAGCATTTGTTGTTTTCATTGAGATTTTACGGGGCGTAGTAAATGATGAAGCTACTAATAGTTGTCGTAGGTTCGCACACAATTGTCTTGTCATGAAGCCCCAACGACGACTCAAATCGCAGCTATAAGCCCGAAGCGTTGCTCAAAGCATATTTGTTTAAGACACAATTGTAATATTTCTGGAAATAAATGTAGAAACATTAAGCTTAGTTGTACAAAGATTGATTGGGTAATTCAATTTTCTCGATCACAAACTTTTCTTCAGATACAAATAATTTTTCAGAAAACATTAAATTTTTAAGCTCTAGAATTCTTTAACAGGAACAGAAAAGTTGAATGAGGGAACTGAGAAATATGTATAATTGCAGTAAAAAGTACGTCGATAGTACTCTATAGAGATAGTTCATCATTTTCTCAGTTATCTCCTTAGCGCGAGAATTTTAAAATATATCTAAAAATTTAAAGTAGGTCGTATGTTAAAAACACAATTAAATTGCTTTATTTTCTCAAACTCTAGATATATATTTTTCGAGGGGTAAAGACTATTGAAAGGGAATATGTTTGTATTAAGAAGAAACCTAGATCATTGTGTTGGCTGCAATTTTTTATATTACTTCAAAGCTTTGCTTTCAAAGGCGTACCTTTCGATTGCAACCTTTAAGAACTCTGCGGCTATTGAAAGGGAATATGTTTGTATTAAGTAGAAACGTAGATCATTGGGTTGGCTTCAATTTTTTATATTACTTCAAAGCTTTGAAGAACTCTGCGGCGTAGCGTATTAATGGCAAGTCAGTTCAACTGACTCCGATTTTTTCAATGCTGTTAGGCCCGCCGCCTTATAGGCAATGCTGCTGCTGATGTTCGATAATTGAGTTGCTCGTACGGTATGCGCTTAGATATTCAAGCGGCGATATCGCGCATATAGTATATGTACAAGTATGTACGTATACATATGACTATATTTTTTTCTGTTCAAAGCAATCGTTCGTTCCAAGTGAGCGACAATGGCCTGCTAATTACAGGCAGCGCTAATGTCGGTTCAATGGAGTTCATTGAAAGTAAAAGTTTTGCGTGTTTGTGAAACAAAATAAGCCCCTCACCCGCATCCCGTCAGCAATTGGAGCGCAGCAATTACCTATGCGATGATAGATACTCGTAGATAAATAGTATTGCAAGTCACATTTTGAATGAATATATATTTATTAATGATGATCGACGTAATATTTGCAGCGTTAAGCCATTAACTAAGTGTCCAGTGATCAGGGGACTAAGTCAAGATGAGCATCATAGATAGCGGCAAATATCGGCTGCGCAAGGATTGGGCCAGCGCCTCCATACCATCATTGGTCAATATCGATGAGCATGGCGACGATGAGACAGAGAGCTCCATGAATATAACGGCACCAGTGCCACCACAGAAGCCACCGCGACGCAGTTCGCTGGCATTGGGTCTGTTCTCGAGCAAATCGGACAAGAGCCAGAAGCGACGCAGCTCCATAGCGGTCTCATTCCTCAGACGCGATAGCAGCAAAGTAAGTCCGAACCACTAATCCCATTACCTATCCCGCTCTTAACTAAAACGTCCCTTTGTTTTATTTCTATTGCTTGCAGAACTCCACCAAAGAATCATACGAATCGGCTGTGCGCGTTGAGAAATCCGATGGTTCGAACACACCCGCAAATAATAGCTCCGACATAGTCTATAGCTCGGAGGAAAATATACGTGCCAGTTCACCCAATGATCCCAATAAGGTCACATATTTCGAGGACGGCACACAGACCCGCAATGTGGTCAAGGGCATGAATCCCTATGAGACTCCAAATGATCGTGCCCGACGCCGTCGTAGCTCTTTGCAGACCAAGCTTGATCGCCATCGTCGCAAGAAAATGGAATTCAATCAGATAAGCCTGGACTCGGGCGTCAGCTATAGCGAGTCGCAGACCGATTTGACCAATGATAGTATGGCTGGACAGTCCGGCCCATCCTCTGCCAGCAATTATGCCTCCAATGGCGATAATAATAATGAGGATGACGACGACGACGATATTGTCGATCCCAGTCATATCGAGTATTTTCCGCGCGAGAAACGTCATTCGTGGTGGAATATTTTTGTGCCAGATAATTTCAAGACCAGGTTGGCTATACTTCTATACACATACATACATACTATATCCATATACTTAGTTCTTATTATTTATGTCTAACAAACGCTAACAAATGCATTTTGCGGAATGTGCCCGTTTGGGAGGCCTACAGTGCCCCAAATTCTTGTGAATGAATAATTGTGTGGAACGTTCAAAAAAATAACATACAAGTATATTATTTTGTAAATAATTGCTGGCAGCCTTAACACACCCATTCATGGAGCGAGGCAGGTGGGCGCCGCATTTCCTGTTTTCAAAAGTTATTAACAGCAACTCTTGGTAGGTTGTCACATACTTCAAAAGGCTGTTTATTTTAAGCATAACTCAACAGCCAGTTAGCCATAACGACTTGCGGCATTCATCATATGGCCTCTTCTCTGGTAATTTATTGTTTAATCAGATGCGTCACTGTAGTTTTCGAACAAAGGGAGTTATGTTATTTTTGCAGGATATCTCTTTTCTTTTGCTTACCAATATCACAAACTTGTTTTCAGACTTCAATATAAAGGCTATCTAATGAAGCAGATTTTTTTCAAAAAGACCATTTCGGTTCGGAATGACATTCTTTAATCAGGCCTGTGAGATTTATTATATAAGCCTTAAAAGTCTTTAATTTGATCCCGCAAGTACAAATCTTAATGTTTCCGGCATTTCTCAAATGATTTCAAAGCGTTTTTACAATAACGTTATTTAACATCTTTTTGCTGGAAAGCGTCTCATAACATTGAAGAATATGACATATATATTTGACTTTAAAACGAAACACCTGAAAGAGAGAATTACATTTCTTCAATGATAAACCAAAACCTCTATAAGAGTTTAGTCATGAAAGTACTTCTATGAAAGTGCTTCGAAATGGTTGAAAAAAGAACAGCAAGGTACACTGGAAGTGGAATGACAATCTCTTAAGTCCAATTCTCTTACATGTTTTGGAATGGCTTGAAAATGGAAAACACTGTCCGGAAACATTTGGAATACGACACAGTCCTGTTTCAATTTACTTTGCAGTCCCTTTAAATCCATTTAATATCATTTCACGCTTCAATTACGGTTATGTTGGTGAAGCGTTCAAGTTCATGGCTCCACAGCCTCAGTAAGTATTGAATAGATTATATATTCGCTGAAAAGGGAAGGGCTCAGTAGGAGTAAAGTAAAAGACAATAGTCGCGGACCGCCGTGCGTCTGTTCGCTTTAGAGTTTTATTGGAGACTGACACTTTTGCTATACATATTCTTTATGCTTACATTCGTATGCAACAGTGACAGATAACTTGTAGATAACATAAGATTATTATCTGCTTATATTAACATGCGTGCATTGGTACTTATGTTTGTATTGATTTTCAACACCCTTCCTCAATGCAAACATGTTTTACAAAAATTTTCAAATCAAATTTAACAGCTTTGTAAAATGAACATGCTTCGCTTTAGGGAGATTTTTCGTTAAAATATCAGCTATCATTTCATTGGTTGATGTATACTGTAAAACAATTTGTTCTTCGTTTACAACCTGTCTTGCAAAATGATATCTAATATCAATATGCTTTGTTCTTTCATGGTGTACAGGATTCTTAGCTAATTGTTGAGCACTTAAATTATCGCCATGAAGAATAGTTGGAGTACTCGAGTCACCGCAGCCAATCTCCACTATAAGACGCCGTAGGTATATGGCCTCCTTACACGCAGTTGAAAGAGCCATATACTCCGCCTCCGTGCTGCTAAGTGCCACGCTGCGTTGCTTTTCAGATCGCCAGGATATGGGTCCTCCAGCCAAGTAGTATACATAGCCAGTATACGACTTGCGATCGATGCGGTCGCCACCCCAGTCTGCATCCACATAGCCGGTAAGGGGTTGTCCACACTCTTTGTAGTGCAACTTCAGGTCCACAGTTGACGCCAGGTATCGAAGCACATGTTTTACACCCACTAGGTGCTCTGCATGCGGATCTTGATTCCGTTGAGCTAACTTGGCAACGGAATGCAATATGTCTGGCCTTGTTGTAAGCGCCAGCCACATTAACTCGCCAATTGAAGACTGGTAGGATGCAATGTCAACCTTTTGACAATGCTCGCTGGTACATATCACTTGGAAACCAGCATCCAGTGGGGTCGCTGTAGGTCTACAGGTCTCGCATCCATGTTCACGCAATATGTCTTTGATGTATTGCGAATTGCTTAGCGAAATTTCGCCAAGCTCACCGTCGCGCTGCACTTCCATGCCAAGGAACAAATGCAGCTCTCCCTTGTCAACACATTCAAACGATGTTGTAATGGCTGACTTGATGTTGGCCAAGTCCTCTTTTGATCGGCATGCTATAATTATATCATCAACATAAACAAGGATTAATGATAAGTCACCTCTTCCGTTCCTTTTGTAAAGACACGGTTCATTTTCACATGCTACAAAATCTATGCCTTGTAGTACACAATCGAGCTTGGAGTTCCACTCGCGCCCCGACTGCTTCAATCCATATATTGCCTTTTTAAGCAATAAAGCCTTACTTGGATTATTGGGATCTGTGTATCCCTGTGGCTGCTTCATATAAACAGTTTCATGCAGGTCGCTATTCAAATAGGCGGTACACACATCTATCTGGTGAAGGTACAGCTTCAATTCCGCTGCTAACGCCAAAATAAACCGCACGGTTTCCAATCTGCAAACGGGTGAGAACGTCTCTACATAGTTCACGCCATACTTCTGGGAGCACCCTTTAGCAACGAGTCGTGCCTTGAAACGTTCGACTTTTCCATCAGAGTCACGTTTCAGGCTGTATACCCACTTGCAACCAACTGCTCGCTGATCTTTTGGTAAATCAGCCATCTGCCAGGTTTCGTTTGATTGTAGTGCCTGATATTCCTTTTGCATCGCCTCTTGCCAGAATACTGCATGTGTGCTACCAACGGCCTGATCATAGGATGTCGGAACCATTACGTCACTAGCAACCAATGCTCCAAGCACATTGTATTGCTTTCTTGGACGACCAGGTTTACCATTTCGAACAATTTTAGGCCGGCCTGGCCCAATCTTCACAGTATCCTCGTCAGAGTCTTCTTTTTCGACTGCACTCTCATATGCGTTGGAGCTGCTGTCGTCAGAACTGTGCTCACTGTCATCGTCGTCGATGCTTCTGTCACCATCCGTGTGAGTGACATGCTCTTGAACCTCGCATGCAGGAAAATCTACCGTAACGGTATCTTCATTGGTATGACCACCACAACGCTCATCAAATAGAATGTCTCGTTTTTCGACAATCGTCCTCGTCTCTGGGTCGTATAACCGATAGCCTTTGGCTGCTACCGAATACCCAACCATACGGTACTCATGCCCTTTGGGTTTGAATTTGCCTTTACGGGGACCCTTTGCAAGTGCAACTGCAATGGAACCAAAAACTTTTAGATGGCTAACACAGGGTTTCTTACCTGTCCACGCTTCCATTGGAGTCAGGTTGTTCAGTGCACTGGTAGGTGATCTGTTTCTTATGTATACTGCTGTGTTGACTGCTTCGGCCCACAAAGACTCGCCTAGGCCCGACTGCACCAATAAGCATCTGGACATCTCCGTTAATGTCCGGTTTGCTCTTTCCGCCACGCCGTTCTGCTGCGGAGTATAAGCCACGGTCAATTGCCTTGCAATACCATGGTGTTTCAGGAAACCGTTGAATGTTGTGTTGACAAACTCGCCTCCATTGTCGGTTCGAATACATTTGAGCTTTTTATCTGTTTGCCGTTCAACCAAGTTTTTAAATTCGACGAACTTACTGAACACTTCATCTTTCTTCCGCAAAAAATAAACAAATATACGCCTGGACTTGTCATCGATGAAGGTCAGAAAGTATTTGGATCCAGCAAGTGACTTCGTGTCGAATGGGCCGCATACATCAGCATGAACCAGTTCCAACAGCTCTTCGGCACGGTTAGTGCTTACCTTTGGGAATGGCTGTACATGTATTTTGCTTAGCATACACGTTTTGCAATTCAAGTTGTCTGGGAAAAAAACCTTTCCAATACCACGCACTAGCTCTTTGCTGATCACTTCCTTCAGACTGGTAAAATTTAAATGGCCATAACGCTTATGCCACAATGTACCATCTGATTCAGTTGCGGAATAACACCTATTTTGTTTGCCTTGAAACATATAAAGGTTCCCAACTTTATTCGCTTTCAGTATACACTCGCCGTTTTGTATAACTTTAGCAAAATGTGGCCCAAAATGTATAACATTGTTCTTTTGCACTGACCGGCTGACGGACATAAAGTTGCCATTCATTTTCGGTACATACAGTACATCTGACAACACCAAGGTACAAAGTTCTGTCTGTAACTTCACCTCTCCTCTGCCTTCGGCCTTCAGGAAACCAGCGTCAGCTAAACCGATCATTTCAGTGTGCGCAATAAATTTTGAAAATAACGTCTTATCGCAACACATATGGCTTGTTGCTCCGCTGTCCAGACACCACATGTTGTTCTCTATCTTTCCAACGTCCAACGCATTTAACAAGCTGCTCTGCTTTTCCATCTCTTTCTTTGTCGATTGCTTTTTCCCTTCACCGCGAATTTTCTCACGCTTGCACTGTGCCTTGTAGTGCCCTTTTTCGCCGCAGTTGTAGCAAACGACGATTTTTGAATTCCTTTTTGAATTCGCTTTGGAATGCGCGACGATCTGCTGCGTAGCTATAAATGCTCTTGCATTCTCGCTCTCTCCATCTGCATTGCCTCTGCGCTCTCCCTCTTCCATCAGCTTGATACATAACACATCAAATGACGGTAAATTGTCACGCGTCTCAATGGCGACGACAAAATTTTCGTATGGTTCGGGCAAGCTTGACAACAACACGATTGTTTTTAACTCATCATTTAATTCGATGCCAACTGTACACAAACCATCCAGAATTTCGTTAAATTCGTGTATGTAACTTGAAATGCTTTGGCCTTGAAACATGCGTTTGCCTAGCAATTTCTTGTACAGCGACACTTTCCGTACAGGTCCACTC